GGTGCTGAAACACACACTGATATACACTTCAAACCCCACCAGCCAAGCGAGTCCAATCTATCAGCCTTGGTTTGCTATTCTGATGACTTTATTAACCCCTAGAAACCTGGCACATAATCACTTCCAGATCAGCCCAGTGACTGGCATAGTACCAAAATCAAGCTGTACTAGTGACTAGAGGACTGCATAAAAATTCAAACAGAAAGATTCATAAAAACCAATGTAAGTAAACCCATGGGCAAATTACTGGAACACATGCCCTTCCAACTGGCTGCCACGGCATCATAACTGTCCCATTCAGGATGACTGCTCTGTCCCCTTCAGCAGAGATTCAGTGTTAATCATTGACAAGTGGCCAGGCCTCATTAGGGGTGTAGGCAGACCCTCATACCTCTACTCTCATGTCACCTACAGGTCCCAGTCCCTCCTGCAGAAATAAGCCAGGGGGCCATCTGCATATGGGAAGGTATGTCCTTTTTCCTGGGAACTTTAGACTTTTGTTGGGGAAGTTTATTTTTCATATAAATTTAAAAACTATTTTCAGCAAATCTGGGTGAAACCAGACATTAGGACAAGGCTGTCACCTGCTATGGAATGCTCACTTGTGCTGCAATTTGCCTGCTGAGAATGTGGGGAAGCTCTGGGCCTATGCTTTGCAATCGATTCCAGGCCCTGGGATCTCTGGGGAGAGCTCCAGGGTAGACCTCAGGCTTAGAATGTAGTGCACTGAGAAAGGGCCCTGGGGGCCACCGTGGGCGAGGAGATGGTGCTATGCAGCAGACCAACACATCCTAGACTGCAGACAAGAGTTTCCAGGGCCTCTGCAGTGTGGGCAGCCTGGGCCAGGCCCCCCGGTACAGCACCCTCTCTGGATGCGGACACTGCCTCTCTGTACTGGGCTTGGGTGCCATCATGGGCAATGCCCACACAAAATAAACCAGGGAAATACAGTTTCTCAGGCCAACACCACAACTAGCATTTTCACCAATGTGGACGGATTT